ATTTCCTTTTGATGAGTAGTATGCGCGGGAGTTCGACGGCAGAACACGGAATTGCATAGATTTTTAACATTGAAAAGATGTGATTTTTGAGACTGGACAACAGGTTTCGCCTCATACTTACATGCGTTGGCGGTGAACCTATGGTCGCTGGAAAGCGGCAAACTATCTAAAATTAATCCTTTGAGGACCGAATGCTTTTCAATCAATTTACTGCATTTGGCCCAAAATGGTTGCATAAAAACTTCATGATAATAGATCAAGAAAAGAGAGAGAGAGAGAACATGACATCAGTGTATGGTAGCAGAAAGAAAGATAGAAAAAATATGCATCTGATGACAGATAAGGCGACTTATTACTTTACAAATAATAACAGTTTAATATAAAGCAAACATTTTCTTTACCGAAAAATAAGTAGGACAACATATGCCACACGGTCTTCAAAGGGTTAAACAAACTTAGGGAGAAAGATTTTCATCAATGCTACTCCTTCTCTCGAAGAATTTTAAGAATCGGTATGAATTCCTATGACCTCATTTATTCTGCAGTCTCTAGAACCATAAGTCAGGAGGTGATGACCGATACTCTACTCAGTCTAATTATAATCAGCTATCATATTTGACTAATTAAAGAACTGTGTGCCTGTTGATAACCTCTCTAGTATAATTCCGAGTGGGTCAGATAAAATATGGCGAGAGAGGAATTGAGTTGGGCCTCTGAAAAATGGCTCATATTGGTCTCTGATGTTTGCAAGTTTCACAAACAATTTTTTGAATATATGACTTCATATGATAGTGGCATGAGCAAGTGTAGCATCTATGCGTGCCGACCAGTCATTGCCGCAGTAGTTTTATTTTGTAAAGCTTATCTATCTTAATGAGTGTTAATTTAAGAAATCTTAAGATTATTGTATAAAACGATGACTACCACTAGTCCATTATTTGATATTAATGCATTAGATGCAGAACATCAAAACAAATTTTACACTGTTTACAATGAATTAAAACCGAATCATACATCTTATCTTCAATATAAACTTAATTTACAGCTGAAGAATAAGATGAATACGGAAGAAGAGGAGAATGAATGGTGTTATGAGTTGCATTGATTTCTTCGTGCTAGAAAATGGAATGTAACTCATATCATAAAATCTATCCGAGAAATGATACAATGGCGAATAGACAATCATGTTGATTTGATTCTTGAAGATCAACTCATGATGCTTCGAATGGATATCATTCGAAAAATGGCTCCGAGCGCTCATCATGGCTATACAAAAGCTGGTCGACCATTGTTTATCGAAAAATTCGGTCTAGTACAAGTGGATAAGTTATTGAATCGATTTACATCAGAGGAATTAATCCAATGTCATATCTATTGGCTTGAATGCTGTTGTCAGCGAGCAAGAGAACGTAGTCGACAACTAGGAAAACATGTCGAAAATTTTGCTACGATTTATGATTTACATGCCTGTAAAGTAGAGTTGACAAAATTTCTTTATGTATTTAAACAAGCCGTTCACATTGACGACAACTATTATCCCGAACGTCTAGGACAAATATTTCTTATAAATCCACCAATGATTTTTTCTATTCTTTGGGATTTAGCGAAATATTGGCTTGATCCTGTAACGAAAACAAAAATCCATGTCATTAAAAAGGGTCCTGAAACATCAACAGTATTATTATAACATATTGATTCTGATCAATTGCCTCCTGAATATGGTGGAACCTGTCATTCATGTCCAACTGCTCCGAATTGTATTCCTGTGTATGAATGGAATAAAGACATTGCCGATGATAAACAGGAAGAACAGCTAACTCGTCCCATTAGGCAATTAAACAACGAAGGACTGAATATAGAAGAGATAAACATAGACTGAGCGCGTCAAAGTCAGAATTGCGCTTCTTTGCAGCTTGTCATCTATTTCAAAAAAGACTGAATTATTGTCAACAATGTTTCTATTTAGTTGTTTCAAGATAGTGTTTCATGATATATATATATAAACATTGTTCACTATATAGTTCATGAGTACGATCGAATAGTGCCTGCGATTCATGCGCTAGGCACGCTCAAAGCTGCGGCTAAGAACAGTAAATAAAAAATACTCATTTTTTTGAAAGCGAATGTACTGGAGATATATGAAATCGTAGAACACGATTGTCACTTGAGTTCGATGGATGTTTTGTACCTTCAATGTGGCCACATAGGTTTCAGTATCAACAATGAAGGCAGACAGAGCCGAATTAAGTGCAGTGGCTTGGAGGAGAATTCTATATAACTCGTTGTGCAATTGCAGAACACGACTGTGAACTAGAATAGTGAGTAAGGTATGGAGAAAATGTTCTCAGAACTTTTGTAATCGATGTATTTCAGCAGGCACTTAAGTAATTTCAGATTGTAAGTAGTCATTGAGAGGAGTATTGAAGGGTGTGGGTGTGGGTGTCAGTTCTCACTTCACCCACATCCACACACCCACACCCACACCCTGTTAAAAATCCATGAAGCATCTAGTCTTGTGAATATTAATCATCACCTTTGGAAACTAGTTTCAATTCTAGAAGAATAGCGACAGGGACAAAGAAGCGTGGATTAGAGGAAAGATAGTGTGAAAGAATAGAATGATGAGTGTTGACCGATCAGAATAAACTTTCAAGTACTCTTTAAATAATAACTTCTGCATATTTCATATTACACATAAACAAGCAAACGTTTTTCTATGTCTTTATTCTATGATACTTTAGCTGTTACAAAAATTGTTAAAAACACATAAGCTAACAGAATATTTCTTGACTGATGTATTCTATTGCAGGCACAAATCAATAGGGAACCTTGAAAGTGTAAAATCGAAACGAATATCGCTGCCGAACTTTACTTCTTTCAGTAGAGAGTCAGCGACGTTTGAGTCGCGTTACTTCTATATAAATATATATACAATCTTGTATACCCCAGTGAAAAATATTTCTAAAAATAACGGAAGAGAACGCATTCATAAAAATGTAGAGACTTGTCTTTTACATGAAGAATGCGTTCTACAGGTTTGCGAACGTTTTCACAAACAAAAAGAAAAGTTCTGAACCTAAAGAAATGCATTCTTTACTGTTCCACACTAGTATGGAATGCTTTCTTCTCAGTTCAAAAATCGTTCTCTACCTGGATAGAAAGCATTCTGAACCATTCCATGAACCAATAGCACGTGTTTCTGCCCATTCTATTTCGAAACAGTCAAGATAGGATTCTATCGAAATGAGACCGCTTTTTTTAACATTCTCTTGGGAAACATCTGAGAATGGATTCTTTTGACTGATGAACGCTTTCATCTGAATTTAACGTCACTTTTGATTCAAAAATGACAGCTCTTAAGTACGGCACCCTGAAACTGATGCCAAAAATGGTGGAACCTTCAATTAGTCATACTTTACAACTGGCAGTCCTGATTCCAAAAACGTTTTTTAAATAACAGTTTGAGCTACGAAAAATTAGAGCACGCCATTGGATAGAGCTCGTCGAGTTGCACTAGAATCGATCTTTCAAAAAATTATGTCCGAACTTCTCCTCGAGAACTCCTGTAGTGAATCTATATTCAGGCAATGACAACCAAGAATGCGTTCCAAAAAGAGTTAGCTTTTTTTGAGAAAAGAAAACGTTCCAAAAAAGCTGGAACAGTTAAGAACGCATTCCAAAAACCATGGAATGTGTTCTTAATGGTTCCATTTTGGAACACTTTCCACTTTTGTTGGAACGTTTTCTTTTCTTAAAAAAACGGCTTTTAATTTTACGGAACGCGTTCTTTTCCGTTCTTTGAAGCAAATATTTTTCACTGGGACAACTATGTATATTAGGAAAATGCTAGTGGTTATTATCGAACATCAAGAATTTTTCTAGCAAAAATTCTTTGTGATTTATTTCCAATGCGTGTTATAGCTTCATTTATCTTTGCTATATTTGCTTATCGTTTAACTGATTTTCAACGTTCAATTAATCGATTTCTTATTTTCTTTCTCACTATATTTATCAATTCAATATTTGGTTCGGCTGTATGTTTCTTTATTTCAGCTTGTATTCCTGTATTTGGTATTTAAAAAAACAGAGAATGTTTTTTGTTTCTTTATCATATATTATTAAATATTTCTAATTTTTAGCTGTAGTTCTTACTGCAGTTATACTTTGTTTTATAATGATGATGGCTCTTAGTGACTTTCTTGTTGATTTAGAAAATATGTTTACTTGTCTTAAATGAACTAAATATATTAGTAGTATTCGTTATTGTTCAAATATATTAACTATTAATGAATTTAGAAATTTAACATTTTGTTTATCTAATAATACTCATATATGTCCAATGACAGGTGAAAAAGTATTAACAGAACGTAATATTCCACATAATACAAATTGGGATATATGGAAAAATTTACTTTTTATATCTATTATGGCTCTTGTATTTTTTATTATGACTTATATTCGACTGTTATGAATGAAAAAATTTAAATAAAATAGAATTTTCATTTATTTTTTTTAATTTTTTTTTAATATTATAAATCTGTGACAATTTCGAATCTAATTTTCCATTTTTGCTTATTCAGAAAAAGTGTTTCTTTGCTTGTAGATCATTGTACAAACTCAAGTTTACATATACGTTTCGATCATGTGAAAGAAATTCATATTTGATTCTCAAATATATTTGATGCAGCATGAACTCGACCTTATTATCATATTAGATTTCTGAGACATTCTGACAAAATAATATTTAAAGTGTTGATAAATTGTTTCGAAATTAAATGTTAATAGAAAGATAAATGTTGAAAATATAATTCATATAAAATGAAGATCTATTGATATTCATAGTAAAAAAATTAGTTCGAATTTTCGATAAATGAAAATTTTAAAGTATAAACTGAATATAAACTTTCATTGAACATAATTCAAATCTAGGCAAATATCTTAATAAATAAACAAATAGAAAATTGAATTTTATGTATTAATTATTAAAAAAATTCAAAATAATGAATTCAGTTCATTTCAAACATTTTGTGTTGTTTTTTTCATTTAAGACCAAGAGCTTTAGCTCCAAGCCAAATAACATGAGATGTTAATGCTGTTGTTTTTCGTATTAATCCAAGACGATATGGTCCTTGATCATTAATATTCTCTGCATTACGACGTAAAATCTCTTCAGCCGATGGATCTGGTTTACTCAATGACATCATTGTTATTTCCGATTGTTTATTATTATCTGTTTTTTCAAGAACAATATCAATAAATAGTCCAAAATGATCACTTGGAAAGAGATAATTGTCAGATTTAATAGGTTCATTGGCCCACATAGTACATGGTGTTATGGCAAATGCTGGAAATCCATAAGAAAAAAGAATTCGATCGAGTCGCATTTGTCCACGTGCTCCAGGTATATAATAAGGAATTAGAGTATTTTTCAATGCATCAAATGTATAACCAAGATTTTTATCATTAAATGGATACTTACTAGAAAAATGTGTTTGTGCCCATGCATCAATCAATTTATTATCAATAACAATTGCATCTTCAAATTCATAATAAAGATTAAGATCACCCATAATAATAAATGGATGATTAAGTGGTTCTAATATATCAATAATATCACGTATTTGTTGTGCTCGTAATTGAGCATTATTTGCTTTTTTGTATGGAGTTGCATGATGAACACAAATATATACAGAAGTTTCTATAGTACTACCAAGTTGAACTTTTCCAACAATAGCTTCACGTTTTCTACCTGATACAGATATGGCAAATACTTCAATCAATGGTAATTTACTTAAAATGATGCATCCATGAGGAAAAAGAGGATTAGTATTCGGAGAATTTTTCATTTCAGAAGTATTATCATTATGATTTTCATCAAATGTCTCTATTATAAAATAATTTTCACGAATAAATGAACATTCTTGTAACCGTTGTAGTGCATTAATAGTAACTTCATTTAAACCAATTATAGTGGGATTGAGATTAATGATACCATTACAAAGCCATTCCAATCTTTCAGCACTTCGAATAGCCATTTCAATAAACCATGGAAAACAATCTGCAAGTATATTGAATGTAGCTATTCGAATTGGTTCATTAACTTTTGGCACTATATTTTCTACATTTGTAGCAATATTAACTGATGATCTGGATTCTAATTCGGAATGAAATGATTTAGTTACGATAGCCCATTTTGTACCATCCCAACGATAACTGTATAATTCACGTCGAGACATTCAGATATTTGTTTAGTTAAAAATTTATCTTTTTTTTCTATAAATGAGAAAATAAAATAAGAGAGTAGCCTTTTTAACGTATTAACTTCTAATAAAATTAAATAAACGATATTCGAACCTAAAAATTAGATAGTTTTGCGTTACATACAGCTTAATAAATATTATTTTTATCTTGAATAGATTTTATTTCAATTTTAATCTCTGATGATAATAGATAAAAATAAAAATGATAGCAGTGAAAATACATTGATCAAGTCTCATATTCAAAGAGATTTTCCATTCATACTAAAATGATTCTGTTGAATTTTCAATGCATAAGTTAAAGTGTCCACAATGCAAAATTACAGCAATTCTTTGTGTTGTAGTTGGTGAGAACTCATCAAATTCTACAAGAATGTGTATGTCACCAATTTTTAAGCACTAGTATTAGAAGAAAAACGTAATGAAAGTAAGTAAAAAAATTTGAAAATCCTTATAAAAGGCCAATTGCATCAAAAAGTTTCAAGTTTCGTTCGTTTCGATATTTTTCACTTATTTTAGTATCAGGAAAAAGTTGAGTAGACTTTTTAAAAAAATATGACTCCGTTGTTAAGAAATTCACTTGTTTAGATACCAACAGTTATTCCTAACTAAAACATACATACTATCCAAAATCTCAAGACAAAAACATCATCGAATTGTTTAACTATTATGAAAAGAAATTTCTATCAAAATTTGATCTCTACACTTCCCTTCAATGTTCTTTCGATATAGTTCTACCTGTGGTCTTTCGGATCGAGTTTTGGTAGGAAATTATTTTTCATGATAATAAAACAATTTAATGAAGGTTTTTGTACTAATTCCGAATAGTATGTATCTTTTGGTTAGAAATAAAATTTTTTGATGGTCAAAATCCATGAATATGAACTTATTTTTAGGCGATTTTACTGCTGCTATTTAAAAGCAAATATCTCAAGAACGAAACTATATTTTCTAAAACACGAGACGCACCCTTCCTCCGCTCCGTTTCTATCGTGACAAATACCCTAGCAATTTCGCCCTTCCTTCACAGGTATGGCAGACAAGAGATTTTTAAATTTTCTTTCGAACTAACTTTTTCATGTTCTTCTCGCACTACTAATGCTTTTGGAATACAGGACATATATATTCTTGTAAAACTTGATGCAGCAGTCTATCCACCTATAGCAAAAAAAATTTTATTATAATTTAGCATTGCGAATACCTCAATTAATCATCATAGAAGACACGTTTTACGTGTAAAACAATAAGAAGAAATTCAATTTTTGATAATACAGAAGTAAAAGAAAATAAAGTAAATTATTCTTACAGCAAAGTAATCTTCGAAATATTTCACAATAAATTCTTCAGTTAAATGACAAATAGACAATATTTCTATTCTTTGTGCAATAACTACATATGTTGACTCTTACTGTGTTCTGTTTTCTTTTTTTTATAAAAATAGACTCGTATGAGTCAGCATATAGAAGAACGAATAAAAATGGCAATGTAAAGATATCGCAAAATGAGAAACGTCATGTACAAAACAAAACAACCATATTACCATATTTCATACAATCACTATCAATATTATTTCATAGGATGTTTTAACATGGATTGTATTAATTAATATGTAAAGATTGATTTTTCATTAGTAATTAATATATGTCTACTTACCTTTATTATAACATCAAGACATAATGGTACATAGGTTATATAGAAAGTGCGACTATAGACAAGACTAAAAGATATTTTGGTGAATCTGTTGAGATCAAACGATTCAAACCTTATACTATAGAAAATAAATGTTCTATCCTCTATATTAAATGTGTTTGTCAACAGAAGACTTATATATTCAATTCTTTATCTATAAAAACGTAAATATGATTCAGTATGTGCCACGCATTCATGTATGTGATTCATGATGAATCACATATTGTTAGTTTTATCTTTTTTTAATTTTATTCTTCAATGAGTAATAGACTTTTATTTTTTTTTTTAAGAATTAGAAATGATAAAAAAATAGTTGATTTTTCTTGAAGAATAAAATTGCATAAAATATACAGAGTATCATTTGAAATTTTCCTAAGTAAAAGTTATTATGTGAATATTTAAATAAATAATTAGATACCAGCAAAAGTTAATCTTCTAAACTCATTTAAACACATTACATAGAAAAATCCTATTGAATGTTTCATAAAAAATAAAACAACTTTCTGTCTCATTTAGTCAATTTGATAATTTGTTGTTCATATTAATAAAGTTCTTAAAAATCTATCAATTGTAATAGTTTTTTTGAGCAATTTTCTATTCTTTTCATGCATAATAATTTCAATAAATATCGTATAAATGACTCTTACAAAGAACTAAATATCTAGTGGAAAAATAAATTATTTATTTTAAGATTTTCTTTGTAAATAATAAAAGGAATTTGATATCAATATCATACAAGTAGCGCTTATCTTTCAGATTCGCAGACCATTTTCTGAAAGAGTTATTCTGCGTCTGATAACAGCGTCAGATCTTCTGATATAGTGAATATGCGGCTACTAAATATCATAATTTATCGCTTAAGAACTCGTCCTCATTCTTTTTCTCGAAAGCTGATGATTCGAGGAATCAATCCATAATGAAAATGTCTGATACAGGAATTAAAAATCATTGATATAATAGCTAGCCTCGATGAAATCTACTGTAGGAAACAGCGGCAACGAACTAACGTGGAAATATTATAGCAAACATTATTGAAGACTTATATGAATAGGAAATTTTGGCTCCAGTGGTATATGTTTCAGGAAAATCAGCAGTTTCATGGTATCCATGGTGGTGAGAGAATACCCAAGAATATTTCTCTTGGCATTTTACCACGTCACATTTGACTGATCCCTTCATTTTGGAGAGAATATATATATTTTTTCAGCAATGCGGATCGACTTTCTATTCTTTGTCATGTTATTGATGGAGTATGTGTTTAGCTGAAATTACATAATTATTGGGAAACTCGTATGCTACTCAGAGAAGTTATGATCAAGAAATTCAAATCATATTTTAACATAAATTACGAGAAAGTTTATAGAAAAAGCAAAACACGAAGAGTTTTCTTTCTTGTCGAAAACATCAGAACCGTACGGAACTTGTAAAATCGACTTATGATTAAAGAGATAAATTGAGTTTATTCTTGTTAACGACGGCTATGTAATGATAATATGGCAAATTGAATAAGCTGCGTACTCCAATCACATCTGGAACACAATGAAGTTTTCTTTGTGCAAGATAGCAATATAAAAAAAACAAGCAGTACAAGGGTGTGGGGTGTGGCTTTGAAAAAGAACAACACCCACACTCACACCCTAGTTTGCAGCTGCTCGCTTCGGCGGGCTTAAAGTTCAAAAATGGCCAGTTCATTTTCTCTTTTGAAAAAAAATATTACATTTTCTTCTTTAAATTTTCGATATCTCTTTGAGATTTTACAACGTGTGGATACGTTGGCGGGAGAGTTTGTTTGAATATATCGCGTGTTCTTTCAAGAAATGGTAGTGCTTTTGAGTATTCTCCGATCTTCTCATACAGCATACCTATATGTTACCGTAGGACATGGCCAAGTTGGGATGATTCAAAGCGAGAGCTATTTTCCAGATTTCAAGTGCTCGTTTGTACGATGAAAGTGCTTTCGAGTACTCGCCCATGTTATGATACAGTGCGCCGATGTTGTTGTAGGAAGCAGCCAAGTCGGGATGATTCGGAGGAACAGCTATTTTCTTGATTTCAAGTGCTCGTTCGTACGATAAAAGTGCTTTGGAGTAGTCGCTCATGTTATAATACACCACACCGATGTTGTTGTAGGAAGAAGCCAAGTTCGGATGATTCGGAGGGAGAGTTTTTTCTGCGATATCGAGTAATTTTTTGTAAAACTCGATCGCTTTTTCGTATTCTGCTTGGTTAAATTTGATCGTTCCGAGGGAGTTATAACAATCTGCTTTATTGTACTCATCAGATGCCTGTTCGAGTAACATTGTGAATACTTGTTCTGCCTTGTCATCTTCACGCATTTTCCATAACAATGAATCCATTCGTTGCCATCCTATTCCCTTGATCTCCTCTCGCATTCGTTCTGTAAGAGCATTAAGTTGTTGGTCGTCATTTTCACTGGTGAGTTTCAGTTTAACTTGCCATATCATGATTTCACGCTCTTGGATTTTGTTGATTTCCTGGATATGAAAAACCGTGTTCATCGAAAAGAGAATTTCATTTTCTTTCTTGAAATAGCTGAATTTTCGGATGGAAGCAAATGGAGCCGACGAAATCGGTTGATCAATAGTCATCTCAAAGAGAACACCAATTTTATTGTTGTTGGACATGATGCCGTCTGTAATAAAACCAATGGCTACGTCTCGATCATTTGTTGTTGATAGAAAATTATTAAATGACATGAGGGCACCTTGTTTAATTTTATTGTCGAATTCTTTCTTGATCATGGTTTTACTCCGATAGACCGTATGAATATCATTTGTTTGTTTTGAATGAAGTTTCTTGATATTTTGATGTAAATCACGAATAAAGAAACCCATTTTCAGTAGAGTTTCAATTTGTAATGTGCCCAACGCTTTGTTGAGCAAGTAGTATATGAAGCATTCTCGTGTATACCACGAAATGGGCATGTTGTGTTTTTCAGAATCATATGGGTATGTTTTAGCGAATTCATCGATAATTTCGAACTGTTCATCGTTACCTTCATATTTCTTTCGGGCATACTCGGCTAGATTGTTGATTTCTTTTTGTTCATTGAAAGGAATTTCAAGAACTATTTCTTTGAAAAGTTGTGTGTACATAAAGGTCGGCTCGATTTGATTTAAAGATGAGACAGTGCTGATAACAATAGAATCTTCAGCACATTGTCAAGCTGACTGTCGAGCAGACTCACAGATTGGAGTGGGTGTGGGTGTGGATGTGAGGGTGTGGGGTGTGAGTGTGGGTGTGGGTGGGCGTGGGATGTGGGTGTGGGCGGGTGTGGGCGGGTGTGGGTGGGTGTGGGTGTGAATGAACAGATGATTCACACCCACACCCACACTCACACACCCACCCACACCCACACACCCACCCACACCCACACCCACACCCACACCCTCTTCTTGAGGGTGGGTGTGAATGTGGAAATATCCACACTCCACACCCACACCCTTTTGTATTTTCTTCTTCCATAACCTAAAATATAATTTTTAACTAGGCAATGTTTATTTTTTAAATGCATCTCATTCGTTATAATTTCTAAGTTTTAAAGTTGTAGATCAAATACTTAGAACTAAGAACAAGACGTTTCTCTTCAACATAGAAAATCGAATAAGATTTTCTATTTTCTATGAAATTTTCAAATCTTAAATCCGTGAACTTTTACTCAGAAAATCCAAACTTGATATTTCGACTTTGTTGATAATCATATTATTTTCAATAAAGTAGAATTTCATTGATAAATTTCTATGAACATTTTCAAAATAGTTTGATAGATTTTCTATTTAAAAATATAATAGTTTTGACAAGGATTAATTTTTAATGTTTATTGAAAAAATGAATTGTTCTATTGAAATTGTCTTTTGTGTTTGCTATTGAATGTAAATGTGTCCGGAAGTTCATTTGTCATTCTACTTTGTCTAAAAAGTTGACGATTAAAATAAATATAAAAAAAGTCTTTATCCGAATAAACAGTCAAGTTGACATCGATCTCAAAACATCGTCTTTTCGATAGATCAACATTTGGATAAAATCCTTTATCATCATCTATCATAGGTATATTATTGACTGATTCATAACCATGTACATCATAGAGATAAAATTGTCGTGCCTGTGCTTTCCATTTGACATCAGTAGGATCTAAATATGAACAAGTAAAATTCCAGGCAAGTAGAGTTTATATGAATATATTTGTAGGTAAAAGTTCGTAGGTAAGTCGTTGAAAAATAATTGTTGTAGATAGATTTGTTTCATACTTTTGATATATTCTTGGTTTACCTCCTGAAAATGATTCTGAAAGAATATCATCTGATGAAACTTGTTGTTGAGTGAACAATGGTGATGATGGTATTGATGACATAGCAGGAATAACGGGTAAGTCAATAAGAGTAGTTGATGGTTCGAGAAAGAGTGATGTGTTCATAGCAAATGGAGATGGCCAATAAGTTGGAAACATACTATTCGATATAGCAACACGAATACGATGACCAATAAAATAAGTCCATGTTGTAAAACGAAGTCGAATAGTTATTATATATGGATGATTTGGTTCGAGATTTGCAGGTGGCATTTGTCGTTGAGCTCCGTTTATTGCACCTGTAGTTACAAGCTATACTCGACCATCGATATCCATATCTTCTAATCGTACAACCCAGTGAGCCAATGGAGCAGTAGCACTCACCTGTTTTCATATAAAAAATAAACAGACTGAATTTTAATTAAACAATGATATTTCCAACTCGAAAAGAAAAGACATGATATCATCCTTTTCTTTTTTTTTCAAGTACATCTTACTGCACTGAAAAAAAGACAAGAATTAGAATGAATTCGAAATCTTCTTCAAGTTCTATAGAACACCAATTTTTTTTTTCTCTTGTTCTTTCTCTTCTTGTGAGTATCGATAATATAGTAAGAGGTAGTAGAGGATGATTCGATTAATACCTGAAGGGATACATTGACAAAGCCAACAATTTCAATTGTTTCTTGAATAGGATCAGTCTGATAGATGAGACAATTTTCGTCAGAAAGTCGCTGATCTCCCGTCAATCCACCCAACCAGAGACCACCTTCAAAACCAATCCATGATCG